GAAAAAAAATTTTGAAAATATAGAAATTTTTACGTAAAAGCCAGTTTTAACAAAATGCGTTTACTTATTTTGTTGTGATTCGAAAACAAATAAAATTAGATAGTTACTAAAAGTATCAAACGAAATGTTTATTCACATGGTTTAATTTTGATCAGTCAAAAATCTTGAAAATTGTATGCAACCACCCGTATAAGCTTTAATTAAAGCTATTTAAGTACATTAAAGATATATAATATAAAAACAATGTTTCGATAAGCATTTATAAAGTATGAATTTCAATCAAATTTGCAAATTACTTTGCAGTTAAAAATTTTTAAATTTTAAATTGTTCTAAACTATGTGTTTATTATTAAACAAAACATCTAAAAATGTATAGGAACAATTTTTTGTAATAGAGAACACATTTGAAGTTCAAATTTTGATGAAATTTTAACGAAGAATAACAATTTTAATTATGTTGTTGTAATTCAAAAATATTATTCGCGAACTTAAAACTTTTATATGTATTTATATTTTATTATATTTTATTTATCCAATGGCATTTTCAATACATTTAAATTATTTTTAAGCTACTGCTTATCAATACCATGGACTTGTTCACACCGTTCTATGGTAAGGTGGTAATAACACATAAGTTAATAAAATACAAAATTATACAAACTAAAACTAAAAATATTATAATAATTAACTATTAATAATAATATGATAAATTCAATGTTTTTGGGCGAAAATTAAATAAACGTACCGTGATGCCATAAGTAAAATAAATCACTTTAAAATAATTAATATCAAAAATAATATTATAAAATAAACTTTTTACCACAGGCCGATTGCCTTCTTCGATGAGGGTKGTTTTTCAATTATTTATCATTGAATTCAAATTTAACAAATAAATAATTATAGTGATTTACTATATGGCGGAGTACACTTGACACCTGCTCTACAGTAGGRYGATTACTTACTTTCCCCCATTCTTATCTTATACTTTATACTTATACTCACCATAAGCTGTAGAAGATGGATCGTCTCGTTTCCCACTCGATTTTACTGGTATATATGATCCTTTTTGAACTCTACTACTCGCGTCTGAAAAWGTTAATTTTTATTTAATATATTATAAAATATATTAATTAGACCAAAAATTGTAAAGACTTTTACCTTTGGTAGTGTCCTTACCCAACATGAAATCTACAAACACATAAATAATGAAAGTAATATAATTCGTCAATAATATTTTTATATTGACAACCAAATGGACAACTCACTTTTAAATTGATTTCCTCTTTTTGCGAATATATTGGAGGCTGCTGTTGCTCTAGCTTTTGCAGACTGTGGTACTGTATCACATGAAATAATATTTTTATGAAAATGTTTGACTACAGAAATTTTCATATAGTATTTTAGGTAACTTGTATGGGCATCAATWGGGGCTACTTAAGCAGTAATAAATTTATTAAAAATCAGAATTAAAGAAAATAATAGTTGTTTAAGAGTATTAGGATTCAAATTAAGGACATTACCTTTACCTGCGGTAGAAAATGTAATACTTTTACTAATAAATAATGTCTAAATAAGCTTACTATCTGCAGATAATGTGATTTTGCAGGTTCGTTCAACAACACCGTCATCGATGATAAGAGAAGGACGACAGTAGTAAACTGTAAAAATATATAAATTGATAATTTATTGATTTTTCATTATTTATTATTATTTATTTTTTTTAAATATACCGGTARATAGTAATCAACTGTAACTTACGTGATAAGTCTTTCAGAAATGTGTCGCTGTATTGTTGAACTATTTTTTCTTGGACGGATTCTTAAAAAATAAAATAAAACCATAACATATTATATCAGTGAACTTTTTATATAATCTAATATTCAATAATTGTTCTGTACGCTAAACTTACCTGTTACGATGATAACAGTCAAATAGTAAATAAACAGAAAACACACTCCAAATGGCTTCATTTTTCAAATGAAAGATTTTAGTAGGATACTTTGCAATTTATAGGAATACTTCGAAGAAAAAGCACTTAAATATATAGGCTTAGCGATCAAACACAGGCATAACATCTATTATACCCTAGAGAGTTACGTGATCCAAGTTTTTGTCTTGTCTTGTTTTTTCATATTTGCTCATTATTTCCGCTTCGATTGAATTGTCTTTTACATTCGGATGACGTAAGCATAGTCATTATGCCTTTATCAATCCCAAAGCCCTATCTGTAAAATTAAAAAGTCGAATCCTGTATGGCATACGATATATGCATACCATTTTAATCTTGTGATTCAAATCGTAACTTTTGATAAATATCTTACTAGCGTACGAAATAATTTCATAATTGTAGTTCATTAAAATTATACAATAATGTATATTGTATATTATTAATTATTAGTTGATATCAAACTGTAAACAAGTCGTAACAACTGCGAGGCAGAGAGGTTAAAAATAATAATTTATATTATATACTCATATCAGGATAATGTATTATAATGTAACCTTGTCATTAAACTATAATGTATGACTTGATAACTTCAAAACTTTAATGTTTTTACTAGCTTAACTTGGTATTCAACAAATATATTATACCCAATATAAACACATAATAAATGTATCAATTACATTAGTTTTCATGAAACTGAGAAAGCTTATATTTGCATAAAACAAAWTAAAAATTTTATATTAAAAATTATAATTTAATTAAATGTTGATGCTAGTAGTTTTATGCTTTTCAAACCATAAAACAGTATAATTTTCGTGTTTAATTAGAAATTATAATCATAATTATTATTTAATAGCTGCAAACATTTAGCGCATTCGGCAAATTACTGTAACAAACATAAAATTATACCTACCATAGATACTATAGATACCTTTTTTTTTCCTGTTCAAAAACCAGGAACGGGTGGGAACTGTTCATCACAATACTGCCACCCGTCCCTGTATCGTTTATTCACCAAATGAGACAATCAAAGATACTATAGATACCTACCATTTTCTAAAATCACACTTTAATTTATTGGATTTCCACTTAAATAAACGTATAGATTACCTATTATATGAAAACATGTATTAATATAATATATAAATACATAATATATCACGTCTATTACAAATGGTACAAATGGTGTTCACATATTTTTTAGTATGGAAGAATATCGGATATTTTATGTTCCTTGAYACTACTACAATTTGTTTACTTTAGAGTTTAGATTCAATTTTGTTTCATTCGCAAAATGGAATTTGTTTTATAATATGATCATAAATAGTATAATATATTAATATTATTATTATTGAAGCAAACAAACTATTTCAGAATTTAGGTAAAACACTTTTGTGGACGTGCTCTAAAGCAGAAACATTTTACAAATGATATGATCAATGTTTGTTTGTTTACACTAGCTAACCAGAATAATTTAGATTCTGTTATATTCTTCTACTTAAGAAACGTACTCATATTTTTATTACGACCATCACGTATTATATTGGGAATACATTTACAAATAATATTCGTCATCTTTATGTCATTATTTTACAATTTATATAAAATTATAAAATTAACACAATCTCAATACATGTTATTCTTGTATGATAATCTTGAAAATAATATAACTTCTTGTTTTGATACAATTAATTAATGCTAAGAGGATTCTACTATTATAGAGTTCTATTTATTTTTTTCTCTGACCCAAAAAAGTTGTGTGCTTGGGTCAGAGACAGAAAACAAAGATTGCACTGATATCCTATAAATTAATTACAATAACAGAGCGTAAATCATGCAGTATCAARCATAAAAATAATTCTACAGATTTGTTTTTAACTTTTTTGTCTAGACACAATATTTACATTTAATGCATATATTTTCCTCGTGATTATTTACAAAATCAATAATGATTAATTAGATAAAATTTAAATCAATATTCATTCACTAAATGTTGAGTGCTTAAAAAGAGAACTGAGTAAATGAGTAACATAATACTAATATAATACAATAGCCTTAAACAATAAAATTAATATTTAAAA